TTTGACTATGACTTTGACAATTCTAACCCTTGACTTTGACTAATTAAAATGGGTTTGTAACATGCATCACTAAAACGGACATTATAGCTTGATAAGAAAGACAGTGGCAGCAGTCTAGTCCTGTGGTATGAATAGAAACTTTGAACTGATTAAAAATCTTTACAATTGAAGGTTGTTGATAATGATTAGTGCATCGATTGGTCATATAATTACATGAAATCCATATTGCAACGTCTTTTTCTACCAGCTTGTCTTATAAACCCACTATGCTCATATTAAATACGAGTTCAACTATCATAATCTAAAATTTGTTCTCATCATTTACCAAATTACAATATAACTAATCACGAGTTGGCTGTTCTCTCAAAATTCTTACTATTAAGTTCAGAGAAAGAGGCGGGAAGCTTTGTTTCATTCCAACTTAATTGAGCTTACAATGACAAAATGAACCTATAAATAGATTATACAAAAGAATCTCCAGCTATTATATTTACAACCTAAAAACAGAAATGGAAAGATCTAGATGGTGGCTAAACTAACTAAACTAACTGTGTCTAACAATGAACTAACTGTGACTAATAATGTGGCTTAATAAGCTAATACGCCCCCTCAAGATGGACTGTATATGTCTTTAAAGTGCATCTTGGCTAATAATAGAGCTAAAATTAAAGATGGAAGAGGTTTAGTAAACATATCAGTAAGTTGATATTGAGAAAGAATTGGGAGAATCTTCACATTTCCAGATGCAACTTTGTCGCGAATGAAATGGCAATCAATTTTGATACGCTTAGTTTTCTCATGTAACACGGGATTGGAGGCCAATTGAACTGCAACATGATTGTCATAGAAAAGAATGGCAGGCTGTGAAACATGAAATTGGAAATCCCGCAATAATTGTTGAATCCAAAGAACTTCATTAGTAGTTGTGTCAAGATCACGGTACTCTACTTCTACTGAAGAACGGGAGACGGTGGCCTGCCTCTTGGCTTTCCAGGAAACTAAAGAATTTCCTATAAAGATGCAAAAGCCAGTGGTGAACTTTCTTGTGTCAATACAAGAATCCCAATCAGCATCAGAAAATGTTTGGAGTCTTATAGGCATCATTGGAGAGACTGAGAAGAAAATTCCTTGGCCAGGACTTTGCTTTAAATAGTGAAGAAGATGGTGTGCAGCTTTCAAATGTGGTGACCGAGGCTGGGAGAGAAATTGGCTCAGCTTATGGACTGTAAAAGTTATATCATAACGAGATATTGTCAAGTAGATAAGTCGACCAATTAGCCTTCTACATATAGAACCATCAGGTAGCAAATCCCCCATAGTAAGAGTTAAAGTCAACTTGGAATCCATAGGTGTAGCAACTGGTTTCCAGTTCATATATCCTATGTCTTCAAGAAGCTACAGTGTACATTGTCTCTGAGACAGCACAATACCTGCTTTTGATCGAGCAATTTCAAGTCCTAGAAAATATTTCAGAGTTCCCAATTCTTTTAACTTGAACTGAGAATGCAAAAACTTCTTTAAGAAACCAATAGCCTGAATATTTGGACATGTGATGACAATGTCATCCACATAGACAAGTAATGCTACAAATTGATCACCAGACCCTTTGGTGAACAATGAATAATCAGCCTTAGACTGTGTGAAACCAAAAAGAATGAGGCTTGCTTGAGTCCATAAATGGATTTATGCAACTTGCATACCATTTTTACTCCATTGTTGCTGGACAAGTTGGTTTTCTCATAACCAAGAGGAAGTTCTATGTAAACTTCTTCAAATAAGTCCCCATTTAGAAATGCGTTATTAACATCAAGTTGTATTAGGTGCCAATGTTGATGAGAAGCAAGTGCCAAGAGTACCTTAACAGTCATTATTTTTGCCACAGGAGAAAACGTGTTGAAATAGTCTAGTCCTTCTTGCTGAGTATAGCCTTTTGCTACAAGGCGTGCTTTGTGCCTTTCAACAGTACCATCTAACTTATACTTGGTCTTAAAAACCCATCGGCAACCAATGGAATGCTTCTCTTGTGGCAATAGAACAATAGACCATGTGTTATTGCTTTCCATAGCTTTTAATTCTAGCTTCATAGCTTCTTTCCACTGAGGGATTTTGACAGCTTTGTGGAAGAAATGTGGCTCACAATCAGCTGAAACATTTAACACAAAATCTCTATGAGATGGAGATAAGGCTACATAAGAGATGAAGTTTTCAGTGGGATGAAGGGACTTCTGTGCTGTCATGTTGCAATGAAAATCTTACAAATATGCAGGAGGTTTGATGACCCTTTGTGACCTTCGAAGAACATTATCAGAATCCATGATGTTGGACTGACTGTTAACCATAGGAGAAGGCCCCTTAATTCCACCGTTTGCATTCCAAAAGGTAAAGTATCTGTCTGATCAGAATTGGTCGAGAAAGGTGCTGAGGCATACACATCTTTATGCTGATCCATGCTAATAGATTGATCTCTAGGCAATAATGGCAATACCAAATCTGGGAATGGATCAATCATTTGATCTATCTCTACAACTTTATGAAAGGGAAAAATGGCCTCATGAAAGATAACATCTCTGAAAATGAAGATTTATTTTGTCTTGATATCATATTAAGTGTACCCCTTCACTCCAGCTGGATACCCCAAGAATACACAAATTGAAGCACGAGGTTGAAACTTTGTTCGGTGAGCAGGTAAAGTTGATGCAAAAGCCAGACATCCAAACACCCGAAGAGTGAAATATGGAGATTTATTTTTCAATAAAGGGGATGTTGTTCTGTTGATCAAACAAGTGGATGTCAAAACACAATCTATCCAGAACTTGATAGGTATTCTAGACTGGAAATATAGTGCCCTTGCTACATTTAGAAGATGTTGATGTTTGCGTTCTACAACTGAATTTTGTTGAGGCCTTTCTACACAGCTGAATTGATGTAGGATACCTTTATCAGCAAACAAATCAGTGAATGCTAACTCTGGTGCATTATCATTTCTAAATGCCTTTACTTTTGTTTGGAATTGAGTTTCTGTCATGTTAAGGAACCTTGGAATGACCAGATTTGCATCTGATTTTTGCTTTAGCAAATAAATCCAAGTGAATCTAGAACAATCATCCACCAAGGTTAGGAAATATTTATGTCCTGAGTAAGATTCAATATGGTAGGGGCCCCAAATATCACAATGCACCAAGTCAAAAGGATTGTTTGCAAGATGATTATTACAATCAAAAGATAATCTTCTTTGTTTGGCAAGAGGACACACATAACATGGACTACCTTTATTCAAATTCATATTGTCACAAAGCAAATACGATTTAAAACTATCCAACCTCTTAAAAGAAGGGTGGTCAAGCCCATTGTGCCAAACTTGAACTGAAACACTGTTTACAGAAACATTTGAATCAGATTTTTAACAACTTTGTATCTAGAATATAAAGATTTTACACTTGATCACCCCTGCCAATCATCCTCTTATTGTTGATTTCCTGGATAGTGAAACCATCAGGAAAGAAATTGATGCTGAGTTGAGAGTCAAACATGAGAGCACTAACATATATCAAATTAAATTTAAATTGTGACACAAATAGAACATCATGAAGCACCAGATTTGAGCTCAACCGAACTTCACCAGATAGTTTAACTGGAATTTGTGTGTGATTGGCAAGACCGCAGATGAATTTTCAATCATTCTCAAGGATGTGAATGCAGCTGCATAAGGGTAAATGTGCCTGGTTGCACCTGAATCCACTATCCAAATAGTGTTTAAAGATAATATTTGGTGCATAGACACTGAATAACATAAACATGTAGCATATGAATTAGAGTTGTTCCCATTATGATCAGAAGATTGACATCTGAAGTCAGGTGAGTTGAAAACATAGACATCAGTTGCTAGTACTGAGTTGAACTGAGATTCTGGACAAAATTCCCAAACTCAGGCTGTTTAGCTTCAGTTTGTTGCTTGATTTCAGTCTGAGGGATGACAGAAGTAGACACTTGGTTCACCTTATTGCAAATAGGATAGGTATTCTCCTTTGATCTGATCTTGTAACCAGGTGGATAACCATGTAATTTATAGCATTTATCATTTAAATGACCATGATAATTGTAATAAGTGCAGAATGGTCTTTCTTTCTTTTTATAATTTGCAGCAGATTTGATTTTCGAGACGGTATTATATCCATCACTTCCTTTGCTATTTTCAGATCTGAAAGCAAAAGTCATAGCTCCATTGTGATCAGATCCTGATGCAACTTGTGTACTCATCTTCTTTTGATATTCTTCCTGAGAAACCAGGGCAAAAACTTTGTTGATGGCTGGCAGAGGATCCATGAGAAGAAGCTGCCCTCTCACTTGAGAGAAAGAGTCATTTAGCCCCATGAGGAAAGACATTATATATTCCATCTGATGATGAGCATTTAATTCCTTCACACCATCACATGTGCATTTACCACAGTTGCAATTCGGACGGTAATTGCTTAGCTCTTCCCAAATCGTTTTGAGCTTAGTAAAGTAGATACTAACAGAATTCTGATCTTGAGTCAAGTTCATCAGTTCCTTCCTTAGCTGAAAAATGCGTGGACCATTTTTCTATTGGAACTTATCCTTCAAGTCATTCCAAATTTCATCTGCAGTTGTAGCATAGATCACACTGACAGAAATCTCCTTGGGGACTGAATTCAAAATCCAAGATATAACAATATTGTTGTTCCTTATCCATGAATTGAGTAGATCAGGATCATCTCCTTCTGGTTTTCTTATGGTTCCATCAACAAAACCAATTTTATTCTTCACAGACAAAGCTATCAGCAATACTCGACTCCAGGAGGCGTAGTTATCTCCTGTTAATTGCTGAGAGACTACTATTAGTCCTGGACTATTTGAATGATGTAGAAAAAAAGGACTCGAATGATCATCAAACATTGATCTGCTGGAAGAAGACCTTGTATCTGATATATTCAACGAAGGTACTAGTTCCATTTCGAAAGGACCTCAGAATATACTAGCAGAAATCAAACACATATGAACTTGATTGTAGGAAGGAAGGCTAAAGAGGAAGTAGAAGACAGACGCAACTTTAATTGCTCTGATACCATATTAAGTTCAGAGAAAGAGGCAGGAAGCTTTGTTTCATTCCATCTTAATTGAGCTTACAATAACAAAATGAACCTATAGATAGATTATACAAAAGAATCTCCAGCTGTAATATTAACAAACTAAAAACAGAAAAGAGAAAGATCTAGATGATGGCTAAACTAACTGTGACTAACACTGAACTATCTGTGACTAACAATGAACTAACTGTGACTAATAATGTGGCTTAATAAGCTAATACATACCTCTTATTCTCTCCATTTTTGGGAGAACAGCAGTTTGAAACATGTCGGATGATGCTGAATATCGCTGCTATATTGGTAGCTTATCATTGTTATCAAATTATCAAAGTTCGCAAGTCGTATTTGAGCCGTTTGGCCATCTCCTTGAGGCAAATGTAGTAAACAATTCAATTGCTTTCACAGATAATTTATTTCAGGTCATCGACAATTATTGTTATTTTATGTTGTGGTGAGTATATGCTTTGATCCTGTAAGATTATGAGCCTCAAGAATCAACGGAAGCAGTCATATATTCACCAAGAATCCAGAAAATCCAATAACACAAAGTAATAGATTCTCAAAAAATAGGGGCTCAGACTTCAGATCATTGTAACCATTTGTACAACATTGAATCAGCCACAAAACCCCAAACCCTCAAGAAAAATGCACAAAACAGCTACTACAATGAAATCGAGATCAACACACTGATCTCTTTCTCTCAAAACCTAGAAGCGAAGAATCACAAAGACTAGACACTCATATTTCACCCAAAACCAGAAGTTATTAGGTATACACACAGTAGAGAGAAAACACAAAGAACGGAGAAGACGAGACGAACAGAAACCCAAAAGCTTCTCACATAACAAAATGGGAAAAATTACACTAGGAGTGACCCTTCAGCTGATATATATAACAACACACCATCACCGTAGATCAAGAGTTAATCCAATGGTTCAGAGTAGCACACTTGGTATTCAAATTAGGCTCGGGTTTGGGTATGAAACAATATTGAGTTATTGCGCAATGGCTGTAAATATTCAACAATGGGCTAAGCCCTTTTCCTTTTCATCATAGCCCAAAATAG